TCCTCAGTAAGTTTATGTTGCATGATTATTGTTTATGATTACATAGCATATCACTTAATTTCGACTGGCGGTGGCACTTGCAAATACTTCATACTTCTTCAACTAATTTAGTAAACTTTTTCTTCTTTTTCCAAACAGCATTTACCACTTCTGATCTGCTGGTTATTACAGTAAGCCTCGTTCGCCGAAGAATCGCTTGAAAGCATAAGTAGATCGTCACTACCTCTCGAATTTCACTTTTCAAGGCAATTTTGCTCACTTCAATTAGCAAAGATTGAACATAAAATGTGATGAACCTACAAAAATGAAGCAAATTTTTCAAATGAAGTGTATTATAATTTAAGTACATAATCGAGTATTATAAAAGTGAGCCAATGGAAAAAAAAAACAATAAATCGTCAAAATTCTTATATAAAAATAATGTGAATAATGGAAAAAATGAAAAATTGCTGAATTTCTGCAACAGACATTTTATAATGAACAGATATTATATTATTGAAAAAAAAATAATTTGCTTAAAATAGATATGGCATTATCCTGAATTGTGCAATATTCATTTCTTGAATAGTGAAAATGTATCATAAATTTTTCATGAATAGCCACTATCGCCATTTAAAAATATTGGTTGGAACTTTACTTCATTTAAAATAGGGTGGCAAGTTGTAGATCATATCGAGCGCTGGTTTCTAGCCTCGTTTTAGAGGCATGCGTATTCTATTCCAAAAAGATTTCTTGGAAAGGTTTTTTCGCCATATTAATAGCCATCATAGCCAGAAATGGTGAGTGTGTGTCCTTTCTTGCTTTTACATATTTTATTTTATAAAATGAATGTATGCATTGTTCGATGAAAAAAAAACGCAGTTATAGTCAGCCTCATGGCTATTTCGTTGAAATAGTTTTTTCTTTGGAAAAAAATATGTAAGAAAAAAGAGAGAAAAAAGTAAGAAAAAAAAAAGTAAAAGTAAAGTCTGAAATAAGAAAAGGAAAATCATGGGAAACTGCAAAAATATTCATCATTTTAGATAATTATATAAATTAATAATTTATATAATAGTGGCTGGTTATAAATAAGTAAATAACGATTAACGCTCACCAGGTCTGCTTAGGTCTGACTCGCTCCACTGGCTGTTGTACGATGACAAATTTTTGCCAGGAAGTGACTTGACGATAGAAATATTGCTTTCGCACCACCCGCATTTTTTATTCACACCTTTATTCCTTTCTTAGTTATAAATAATAGTGGCACAATAGTTGATTACACGCACAAATTTTTGAAAAACAAGGTGGCGAACTTATTTTCCATTTTTTTTATAAATTTGTGATGAATCCTGGTCAGTAGCATTCATAAATGTGGTTATAAACCAAGTTTTCTGTTCTTTAAGTGTATGTAAAAAAATTTCTTAATATTTCTCAAAAATTTATAAAAATATATTTTCATATATTTTCAGTAATTTGAAATATCAATAAGTGGCAGATGTTAAATGCGCAAATGGTAAGGTTAAAGGTTATTGGCTAGACCTGCCTGCTGCTTGTCCTGCTGTTGGCCTGCTGCTAGCTTCTGCTTATCATCTGCCATTAGCCAGATTCATCTGTTCCATTCATATATGTATATTATAGATAAATATATAATATAACAGATGCCTAATGCTTCTTATTTATTTTAATGAAATACTTAACATTTACAGAGAATTAATAACATTTATAGAAAATCAATTTCTTATGAGCTAATCAGTGAGAAGATAAATACGGAAGTGCCATCGATAGTGATATTGATAGATTCCACATTTATTGACCTTCTCTTTTAGTTTCTTTTTCTTCTTCCTAATTTCTGTTGTTATGATGAGATTCTTACATCTTTTGTGGAATTCCAGTTAACTAGGTTGCAAATGCCAAAAATGTTTAAAAAATCGTTGATCTAAATAGAATTGGTTTGACTATGTTCCTTGCGTTTTAATTGCACAATAACTGTTGTATTTTGTTTTTTCAATTTTTTTCGAAGAAAATGAACATTAAAATTAATTATCAGTTACAACCAACACAATGATTTCATGAACCGTTGAAATTATTAAATTATTATTAAAATGTTCTATATAGTAAACAATACGTGCAGGTGTCGAAAATCGTTGTGAAAGTCTGCAGGTGGCTATGGCTACTTGACAATGGTCATCATTCTAATAGATATGCCGCCCTAGGCCTTCAGCACAACCTGACACATTTATTGATCTTGAATCTCGATTTAATTGCTTCATTTGCTAATTAATCATTATCTTTATCATGGTGCTTTGCAGAATAAATAATTTTTTGCTTAAATTACTGCTCACATAGCTAAAAATTACTCAGTTTTCTGACCAACTTCATTAGGAAATCGGGCTTTTATTAGCTGTTCTTTTTTTATTTCGTCATTAATTTAATTTTTGCCCAGCTTTTTGCAGGCTTTAGCTTTTTAGGCCACCATGTGAAAAATATTTATTACATTATGACAGAAAGATAAAAATTGCGAAATGATCCCTTGACCTATCGGTTTCTTAAATAAAGATCATATACACCTGGAACTAATGATAATAGGCAAATTGCTCATTCTTCAAAAAACAAAGCGATCTACCAAGGGGCAAAAGCAAACATATGTTCAAAATTAACCAAAATTCGGCTATCAAACGGTTATCTTTATGATGAATTCATCTGGATGGCGATTCCTATCCTAATTGTTCCACTAGGGACTGCGACAATAAATGATATAAACATTTATGTATTTGTGGCTATCAGATAGGCAATAACATTTCCATAGTGTTAGCACTTGCCCTAATCACTTCATAAAAGTTATTTTGCGATATCAGTTATAACTATTAACTTTTTTTATTGTTCCGATTTTCTTCCTTATAAATATATATTGCTTTTAGTCAATGCATTTACAATGAATATTTCTAGAAATAAATGCTCCATGAGAACTCTAAAGGTATTGCCATATATTTAAAATTCACATAAAAGACGAAACCGACGAAACTAGTCAACACAGGTGCACATTATGACAATAGACTGTTACATCCCTTTCAGCCTTTCAGCCTTTCTCGACGAATTTCTTTGCATATATTTTTATAGAGCAAACAAATTACAATAAAAAAACTCATAAAGTGAATTGTCACTCTAAAAACTATCTTCTTCGTTTACAGGAATAATATTGGACAATAATGGACAATAAATGCGAAATAAAATGAAAGCTTAAGAGAATGAACGATAAATTTTTTACTCAATGTATGTCTTAGTTGAATTCCTCATGATTTTTGACCGAAAATTACATTTTTGATGCTCGGTTGCCAAAAAAATTCCCCCAAAAAATAGCATAAATAATCGACTTAATCATCACTTAATCGACGTTCAAAATTAATTATTGCTTTAAATTCACTAAACCATTGAAGTTTTACAATATTTCTGAAAACCGAGGCAGATACACTTTGTTTGAATTTTTTATGACAAAAATTAGCTCATGCAAGAAAAAGCGAGAAACGATAGCATGATTTTGCCATCGTATTTTGTGGAAGTTTACTATTACAAATGATTATTTTCATAATTTCGGGCCAGTTTAGGTCCATTATCACTGTTTACCTTATGTTTATCATCTGGCATAATCGTATCTAAGTCAATGCCAACAACAACCAAACCTTCACAGTTCTACTTTGTTCAAATATGGTTCAGTTTTCATACATTTAAAGTGAATATTACCATGTTATTACCGTACTTAGTAGCACCTCAAGATACTTTTACTTTAACAATTTTTATATATACAATCAACACAGATCAAAATCGGTAATATTTAGGCAAACAAACAATTACAAGGTGAATACTTTGATAGATTAAAGATATTTATATCGATGTTATATTTGATTTCTACGTGGGATTGTTTCTTTCTGATAATATTTTTTTTCCTCCTTAGAGACATCTAAAAAGTTTCTTTTTTAGAATTTTTTAGTTCGGAATTGAAAATAAATAGCCAAAAACAAAACAGCCCAAAATGTATTGTTGGTATTTCTTTAATTCTGCATCAGTTATTTATTATTTGAGTCGATTCATGTGTGTGCTTTGATTATCTAAGCGATGCATTAGTAGCTTTCAATAAATAGACATCTGCTCAGTTTAGCTACTAATATGACTGAACTACTCTAGGGAATCCTTTGGTTAACAATATGCTCTTATAGACTTATTGTAAAAATTATAACAAAGAATTGAGAACAAAAAAGTATTTTTGGATTTTCCATATTAGATTTCATTCACAAATTTTAAAATTAACACGATGTCTTACAGTGTTGCTCGATGTTTCAATATTTGTGAAGCTGCTTGCTGCACGCAATTTTTATTGCAAAATGTGAAAAAACTTTTCGCAAAAAACGGTGAACTTTTTTTTCATAAACACATATCGAGCCATTTTCGTGGTATAGTGATATGTAGAGGAACAAATTAAGCAATATTGTTCAATTCTTGCAATAAAAATTTTTTATATCAGTTACACTTATATACAATATATTCGTTTTTTACTTTTAGCAAATATAATGCAAATTTATTTTGCAAAATAAATGAAAAGAAAAATGTTACCCGTGAAAATTTTAAAAACATTACTGGATATCGAATAAAGCGAAAATAGCAATTCTGGAAATTTATAGCACAAATATCCCTTTAAAAAACCAAAAAAACAATTTCAAACAAATGCATTCATAAAGATTCATTTATAATTTTGGTAGCAGTAACCACACTCTTTCATCATATGTGGTGGAAAAAGAAAAAATTCATTTCAATTATAAGAAAAGCATGAAGGTGAATGATGAAAAATAGGAAAGTTTATAAAATGATAGTTTTTATGAAAAGAAGACATAAAATGTGGTTGCATCATGACAAAGAGATCAGAACTTGGGTTGCGTTTTTTGTTTTCCCTAGTACTCTTCGAATAATTCATAATATTGCAAAAATTGAACTGAACATATCCATTTGAACGATCGTATCAGTTGATCATTTTAATTGCTGCAGCATTTATCTTTTGTTGACCACTTCGACAAAAGTTTTGTCAAATCCGTTTCAGTAATCGGTAAAACATTTTCCACATTTTCAGATGATTTTAACTTATTCTGCAAGATTTTAACATTATTAGCATAATTATTCGTGTAAATATATTCATGCAAATTTTTTTAAGATTTCCAAATATAGCAAATTAGCTTAACTGAACTACAAAAAATATATATACCTGAAGATAATAGATATAATTGATAGCATTGCGTATAGTAATATATTCTGAATCATTTTTATTCGAATTCGGTATTAATTGACTTAAACGGATCAATGCAAGCCGTTCTTCCTGATATTCTTTCCTGATTTTGTCTTTCTTAACAGAAATTAGTGATGACCGATGATATGCTGGTTGATAAGGTGACGACTGATGACGTGAACGATTACGGCATTGCCGACGTGTTGATGGCCTACAGTGTGACGGTAACGGCGACGATGAACTTGAAGTAGAGATATTGGTCATAATGGAAGATTAACTGAAGTATGAGCAGAGTTTAATCTCAAGAATACGCAGCTGATGTGTTGCCAGTAAGAAACAGCTGAGAAAACGAAATCGAATAGAACAACACAAATGCTTCGACTCAATCGTTGACAATAAAACCATCCATCTCATATAAATGAATTCTTTTAACCAGTCCACGCCCTTCCTCGCTCAATTTTCCCTCCTCTTTCCTTATTCAAACAGCTGTTTAAGTGTTACATTTGCTATGCATTCATATATACCAGTAATTCGTATTATCTATTTATTTAGCTTAAAATAATTTTAAGAGTAAAACGAAAGATAAATCGAGATAAAATAAATTGAAATAGGACGGAATGATCGAGGTGATATATTGACTGTGCTCATACCATCAAAGCATCGTCTGATGCTTTTGGTGGAAATAAACCCATCATTAATAGTGAGATGTAGCTGAGAACTCCATGCCTCTGTCTCTAAGAGATTCTGTGGCCCATGCGATCTCATTCTAATAGCCAATAGAACCAGCCAAATCAAGAATGGCATGAAGAATGATGAAGAAATCGGATTAAATGATTAACGGAATAATTTTTATGAAATAATAAAGGTTTATAACTTTTGCTATATATTCTAAATTGTTATTCATAATTTTTCAATAAATTTTTCTAACTAAGAATTTAATGGATCATACTATAGCAATTGCAACAATATTTAATATTACTTTATTTTCCTGAAGTAGGCGCTGTCATTTCAAGCAAACAAACATCATATGAAACATGAAGAAAATAAAAGTGCTGGGGACAATATCTGATGGTACTTCTAGTTTTTTTGCCGTCGGCTCTGAAGTCTTATCAGAAGCATTCAGAGCTAATTTTTTCAGAAAAATATATTCCAATTATATTCGAGCCCGGGTAGAAAATTAAGTGGTTATCGTGATTATTACTCATTATTTTAAATGATTTTTTGGACTGATAAATCATTTTTATAACTATGAAAAATATATTTATTACACAATATATATAATATATATATATAATATAGATATAAATCCGAGAATATATATTATTACTCAATAATAATACAATGAAATATAAACATTGTAGATTACCTAAAGACAGCACGTTCGAAAAGTTTCAAGAGAATTTTTCAGCACAATTTAGGAAATTTAATGCATTCAAAGCCATATAGATATAAATCCGAGAAAATCCAGAAAATTTAGTAGTAATATAAAATTTTAATGTAATATTTAAGTGCTAGCAAAATTGCAGTAGTTCTATTGAATATTGAATTGAATAATTTTTATTATTATTTGCAATTTAGTGAATTTTTTCATAATGAAGTTATTTATCGGAGACATATGGTAAGTGAATTGCAGATGCACGAGAATTTAAAATGGTTCGAACAAAACTGGAACACATCACATATGGTACTTTTATATATAATCGTCTTTTGATCTTTATCAATGAACAGAGATAAAAATTTTAATTATTGGCCTTGCAGAATTATTATTGCAAAAGTTGATTAAGTACATATATATATATGTACATAAAGTTGTCGTAAATTCCATCGTGAATTTTCATTCAGATACCACACTTACACATATAATATATACCACACTTAATTTGCTTAATTTTCTAATTTACTCAATGCGATTCAATTTATACTCCAGTGTGTGGTAAAATCAAAAAAATTTAAAGGTTAAACTTTCGTCCTTAATTCCTTTAAATTCTTTGTGGAAAGTATAACCAAATTAATAAATGAATCTAAATTGAATATTGTATTGTGAAAATCATATTGTGAAATTTTACTACATTTGAAGAAGCTAAGATGAGGTAAATGCTTGTAGTTCATATATTCTAAAAGGAAAACTTATAATCTGAATTAAACAGATGTTCGAATGTAGTGATAGATTCTTTCTGTCGAATTATCGAATTCTTTTATGCACCTATTGTCAAATAATACTTACTGACCAATATCCATCTGTTTAATTTCCTTCTTTTTTGAAAGTAGGATAAAAAATTCTGCAATAAGATATGAAAATTCGAGGATCAGCCTTATGAAGAATCTATAGTTTTTCTTATGGATCGGCTTTTTAAAATGTTTTGTTAGTTACTGAATTTAGCTATGGATGCTTTACTTCAATATGGCATTGTGAAAAGCCTTCATCTTTAGAAATCTTATCACGTATTTTTTACTTTGTTATCACGTATTTTTTATTTTTTATTTTGTGGTGAGCAAAAATTTTTGAGATTCGCTACAATAATAATAATTTGGCTTACAATTTATTTTTATAACAGCATTCACCATTTCTGGTTTAGCTAGATTATTAGCTATTAGGATAAGATTCTTTCGCCAGAGAGTCACTTGGGATAGAAGTGCAATTAGCTTTTCCAAGATTTCCTACCAATGAAAAGCAAAGTCGAACCGATCACGGTTTGTTTCTATAAGATATTAAAAACTTTTATTTATCGAATTATTTTATCTCTTTACATCTGAATTAAAAATTTCTATTATTAAATTTTAAATTTCTAAATTTAATTAAAAATAAATTTCAAATAAAATAAATAAATAAATATTTTGACATACTTGACATTTGTCATATCAATTGTACCACTGAATTTAAATAATTAATAGATGGTAACTCGATCAAATCTTATGGTTGTTATTATCCATATATATTTAATATTTAATATTATTTATTATTTATAATATTTAATATTTAAGAAATACCCATTAGTTCGGTCGAATAATAGCTCTTTCCATCATTTTAATAAACCGATATTACGCGAACTTCACATGGCCATTATGCAATATTCTTTTTTATTTCAAAGGTAATTATTTAATTATACAACTTAATCAGATAAAAAAAAATAAATATTGTATCCAGATCGGTATTTAATGATACCATTATTATTTTCTTATACCACTTTCCTTCGATCACAATATCAGAACATAGTATGGTGTACTCGCGAATCAAATTTACAAATCTGGAATCTGCGAAACATGGGTTTAAGTTAGTTATGATAATCATTCATCTTTGAGAAATCCTAGTTGAACTTTTTGCTTAATATGATTGGATTTTCATAGGCAATTTGGTGGAATTTTGACTTTGCACTCTTGTTCAAAGAACACTACACCACTTTACACCATTGCACCACTCAATTCCATTTTTCTATAAGGTGCCTGTAACTATGATATTCAATCAAAAAAATGAAAAGATGGAATTTTTAATAACTCGGCATAAACTTGAGTGGAATATTCATATTACGGTGAAACGACTAACTAAAACTGCATTGATTTACGGTAAGTAAAAGTAATTTGAGCTATAACTGATGGATCAATTTTCATTCGCACTCTACTTATAACTAATTTGATTAATTAATAGTTCTTTATAGTAACACAACACTTTTGTAATTTTAACACCTAAGAAGAGGGAAACTACATTCCTATATCCTATCTAATTAATTTTGACCTCCCACTGAAAGACCAATATTTTTTTTTAAATATAGACTTTATAATTTCTCTTCGTTATTAACTATAAACTCCTTCATATCTTTATGCCTGTACTGTTACTGTTACAATAATAAAATAATAAAAATAATATTAATAATAATAAAAATAATAATTAAGAATAATACATGTGTATATATGTATATTCTCCATGTAATTTTTATTGAACGTTTACACTACTAGATTATCAGTTATTTATTGATACTACTGTAATCCAGGAAGAGTTGTTCAAATTACTATCACTTATTATTTTGGTTTAATTAAATGCACTAGGAATAAATTAAATTTTTAAGCATAAATTTTAATATTTATCCTTAAAGTATCGAATATAAAAATTGGTGAACCATTCAAGTGATGATAGAATTAACGGTGCAAATAGAATAATTCTGTAATAAAATAATATTAAAATGGTGCCGCGGACATCCAGCTTCAAGTGGTTCTCGGACGATTAGAGGCCCTAATAACCAATGCGGCCAGCTAAACCAGAAATGCTATCAGAAGAATTATGATGCATAGAGACAAATGATTTTCGGATCTCTATTAAATTTCTAAGGAAATAACAATAATTATTAATATAAAATTTATGAATCGAAATTTATTCGACAAATAGTTGAAGAAGAATGTATCTACATAAACTTTTTGCAAAATATTAAGGAATAATTAAAAAATAGAAACACCTTGGATTTGTTGGGCATCTGTTGTGCATCTTGGTCCCGTATGTTTTAACATATGGACAATCTATTTTTGTTGCTTGAGTTAAGACTCATAATAATTAATCTATGATAATCTTAATTATTATGTTGATTCTTCGTCGATTTTTGAGGCTCAATTATATAATACATCAGATGGCAATGCAGGCCTAATCAATACTGACGAAAATTATCAAAAATGTGATCTGATGATACTAAGAGCGGTTGGCAATAAATGATAAACATGAAGGTTTTGATTTCTGAATATTTAGTACTTTGAATATTGAATAATTTTTTTAAAATTTATTTGCATGGCAAAAATTTGAAAGATTGCCTACTTATCTTTCTCTTTTATGAAAATTTGACAATTTACAAAGGAAAAACTTTGACTTCCTCATTAAGTGGACTTTTATTATTTGCTTGTGCTCACCCAAATCCAATGACTTACAAATCTTCTTTACTCGAATATAAGAATAAGAATAACACTTCATGCATGGCAGCTTCAAAGAGCAATAATTATTTAGCTTCATTTGTTTTCCAACAGCGCTTGATTATTTCTGTCATATGGAAAGGCAGTTCTAGTTTACGGCGATCTGGATTAAACCAGGTGATTAAACCAGTGTTTAATTTCCACAAAATATTAAGAAGATTATATAATAAACGATATTTTTCAAGAGTAATGTGAAACGATTCAATACTACTGATATACTACTAATACTTCAATATACTACTAATCATATGCTAAGAGCTATGTGATGTACAGGTGTTTTTACCTGCAAATCTGCTTCCCTTTTTCAAAACCCCTTCCTGCTTCATTCATTACTTTATGTAAGGCGGTGCTTCATAAAATAATGGGCTGAATTTATACTGCGAACAGTTTTCACTGCGCATCTGTTCATCATATTTGAACAAACTCACATATGAGCACCTTATTGTTTTTAGATCAAATCTAATCATCTAATCATGTTCATCAACCATTTTTCGATGAATTTTAAATTTCTCCAATTTTTGGATTTTTTAAGCAAATCCCGATCATTTGCTAAATTTCTCTTTTCGCCAGAATTATCCCTTTGTGAAATAGTTCATATAAAGCTGCGTTTCATTAAATTTGGTCTAATCCACTAATTTATCGCTTCAGTTTAAATTTTCTGCAAACTTTATAAATCTAATTAATTCTATTAATTGCTTAAGAAATTTTTGAAAACTTCCATTTAAATTTGCCACACCTTTTTTCTTCGCCAAAGAAAAGTCTGTCATTACACAAGTATTACTGAATTTGTCACTTCTCGACACTGCTACTGAAAAATTGGTAAAGTGATAAACTTTATTCATTGAATTGCCCACTGCATCATCAGTATCGTCTTTTAATACATCCTTAATGACTAATGTATTTCCAGTTTTTTTTCAGTTTTTACCTTTTATCATAATGATATTAATATTTGTGTTGATTTGTGTTGATCTATCTTTTTTGATCCTGTTATTACTCTGGACCTCTTTGATCTAAAAAAATGAATTTCAGCAAATGGGTCGTAATTCTCGAATTAGATCACTCAGTCTTGGTTCCACAAATATTGTCTTACGCAATCGAGATCGAGAAAATTCAAACGAAATGATTAATTTGTTAACTAAAAGGATTGTGAAATCTTCCTCATATGATGAAATGAAAGAAATTCAAGAACTTCTCATGAAACTTAAACAAAAATTACCTAATGTTGGCGACGGAATAGATGAGCTCGAGTTTTTATATCAACTTATTAATTATATTAAATTTTTGAAGGTTTCTTTAAAATTTTTGAGATTGCTGTCGATTAAACAAAACAAAAGATTTATTCCTCGAATACGAAATTAGTCTTTTTGAGATACTTATTGGATTTTTAGCACTGTATATCTAGAGATAAACTGACATTAATAATAAGATTAGCAAGGTATGATCAATGAACAAAAATAAAGTATGATCGTTTATGCACCAGAGAAAATGATATTTTCACCTGGCAAAAACTGGAAACGCCTTTTAAGAATATTGCAATTATTTTAATTTAGGAATTGTTGGACAGGTATGACTGCGAGCATCTACAGAAGAGCGTTGGAAAACTGGACCAAATGTCAAGCTCAAATCAAATAAGTTTTCTCAGGCGGAGTGAAAATTCTAAGCAGATCAAATCCCATTAATAAATTTTTTAATTTTTAATTTTTAAGCCATATCGGCGGCATAGACAGAAGTGTTTTTAAAATTTTCGCCTAACATTTGCTCCACAATTACTTATTCGCTTTAATTTTCTTTGTTACAGATATTTATCGTTAATCTATCAAATTCTTTTAGTTTTTATTTATTTGTCGAATGAGACTTTCCATGTATTTATTTATTTTTCATACTTCGCCTTCCGTGTTAACCATTTCGTTATTTGTATCACAGTTACCGATATTTCATGGTGGAATATTCTGATATATGATGTTCAGTCTATTTTTCTTTGTGCCGGAAGATGAGATAAACTGTGAACAAAATAAAAATTGAGTAATTGGCTACAGTATAACTTCAATGAATCAAATGAATTTGTTAAAAATTAAGCTAAATACAATAAATAAAATAGAAATTACCATCTATTCATCTAATTTTGTGTAAAATTTCGTACCTGAATATTTTCATAATGGAGCTCTAATATAAAAAAATGGAATATACTTAAAGGCTCAGAATAGGTTCTTTGTGAAACGGTTGCCACAATTCCTTTTCATGAAAACTTTGCAATATTTTTTAAGAAGAAATTCAATTAAGAATTTAAGAATTCAATTCATTTTTCTCTATTGTTATCTATTTTTGTAAAACTTTAGATTTCGTAAATAAAAATTTCTAGATGGATAGTTCAGAGTTCGTTCGATCACAGCTGTTACTTAATTTTTTTGTTGTTTATAGAAACTGCTGAAACAAAAATATGGAAAGAAGAATGGAAGACTTAAGCTGAATATAAAGAGTTGATCATTCTTCATTCTTCATTTTAAGAAAAATCTCAACTGAAACTAAAATTTGTTTGTTGAATAAAAGAAATCTTTACGAATTTATTTATCGTCTTATTCAATTTTTATTTCATTTTCACAAAAATGTCGATAATAGTTATTTGAAAAATCTGAATTTTAGAGGCATTTAGAATCTGAGATTATTACTCACGTGCCAAACTTATTTGTTATTTTCAAACTGAGTGATACTGGAGGCTCTACATGGTGTTGGAGACTGTCATGCAATTTTATATACTTTTCTCTTTAAGTAATCTAAATCGCTGTAATGAAGGAGCATAACTACAAATGAGCGCTAACTACAACTTATCTCCACTGTTATCGATATTTAATTTAATTCTTATATAATTTTTTTTGGTAATAGCTGAATGCCTGCAAATGCATTTGTATGTTTAAATGGGTCAACAGGAACTTGCAGCAAATAATATGCATGTTTGTGAACACCTTAAGAGACAAATAAATCAACGTCTTACTGGCGCCAATCTGTAAATATATCAAATTTCTATGTTTTTATATTTATTAATATTGTCGATATACGCTTCAGTTACTATTTATTGCTGAAAACTTGTGCAGCGAACAAAGTAGACTGTATTTTGCTGTTTAATTATCACAAAATATTGAGGTTTTATTTGAAATATTAAAAATTTTGGTTGCAATATTGGAAGCAGCTGGCAAAATTCAATTTTATCGCGTAGATTATAGCATTCAATCAGAAATTTAAATATATTTTCAACGATGAGGATTTCGTTAATGAATAAATGAGTATTAGTGAGAAGGATAGCGACCAAATGTTGTCGTATATTGATGAAAATTGTTAACCAAATGCTGTGATATTTTGATGAACCAAATGCACTGATTGACCAAATGTTCTGATCTTTTGCATTTTGCTTGATGAAGCATTTGGTAACTATTCGAATAACTTAATAATTTCTAATTAACGGACCATCCGCAAATATTAGCCAGATTGCCAAAATAAATTTTTATCTCCTACATCTTCCAAAAGCAGTATTTTTAGTTCTTCACGCACTGCTTCTGAATATTTTTGGGCATAGAAGTACAGGTGTTTTCCCAGCATCGCCCAAAGTATTAGAAGGGGGTTAGCCAGATTACTCATTGATAAGCGAAATAAACAACAAATTTTTTTCATTTAAAAATAATTTAAAATAAGGATCATTTCATTTAATGAAATATGAATAGATTATTTTACACAGGTGCAGAATAAAAGAAAGGATATTATTTGTTACACAGGTGCAGGATAGAAGAAGGAGAATGGTGATGATGTGGATGATCATTTGCTGCACAGGTGCAAGATAGAAAAGCAATCTGTTGCTCACACATCAGCTGTTATTTTTATTTTATTGATAGCAGCAAAAGAACCGTGACATTTTATTTTTCCCCAAGATATTGTGAGTACACCACTTGATATATATTTACTGATTAGGCGCCATTTTTCATGAATATTTTCTCATTTCATGCAAATACATATCCATTTACTGTAGAGGCTGTTTTTCACGTAGTTTGATTCTTTCAGCATACGGTAAGATAAACAATGTGGCTTTTGTCACAGTGGCAATGTTTAATGAGCTTCGTCTTTATTGACTAAATAACTATTAGATTATTGAATCTTTAAGAAGGAAGGTTAGGCGAGTGGTTATTGCCCAGATTATCATCACCACTGTTAGGGTTTGGATTCTTTCATCAAAAAATCCGAATATTGATGGCGACCGAGCTGTATTTTCACCACCAAGTAACTTTTTAACGAAAAAATTAAATTTCTTTCCAATAGCTAGTGGACTAATCACAAATCTTAATCACCTTAATCAGAAATGGTGAAAACCGATTCATTCAATAATAATAAAAATTTAATAGAGTATAAAGGGTAAAAAAGCTAAAAATTCAATGAAAATACAAAATTACTTTTTATTTAATATTTTATGAGATTTTTGAGAAATTATATAAAATTAAAAACCATCTGCGCAATTCGAATATGAACATGTGTTCTCATCTGTTATTGCTTTGCCTTGATTCATACAAAAATTCCTATAGATACTTTATAATTATTATCAGTTCAAGCACTATATTATCTGAAAGATTAGAAACAGGAAATAACTGAAATACATATTCTGGATAATGATTAATTGTTGTTGATAGAGGAGACAAGGTAGTTGTTATTAAAAATATTGGTGAAAATGTGGTAAGATCGAACTATTATTCAGGAAAAGAGGAAAATTCCTTGTTTTTATAAATTATAAATCCTTTTTTGTTCGATTTTTTAAAAATTAAATCAAATAATAGTGTTAAACATCAATGATGAACCGTTCTTTTACATCACGTTAAGCACAGGATCCGTGATAATCTTCAAACCAAGCATAAGATATCAGTGAAAATTGTTTCCGCCTCTTCTTATTAATCTTAACTTCTTAACTACGAAATGAAATTTATTCTTACTGCTGATAAAATAAATATATATTTATTATCATATATTGTTCAATCAACTTAAGCCATTACGGATGAAATTTCATTAAAAAATGATTAAGCCAACCGATCAGAGAATTGATTAGTTAGCAGTTGATAAAATATGGCATATTGTTGGACAAAATATAGAGGAATTTTTTAAATATTCATATGTGGCATTATTTAAGTCAATAAAACCAACAAAGCCAGAAAGCCAAAAAATTCAAAGAAATGGTCGCCTTATAATGGTTAATGTTATCCATCATTTGAGACGAAGAAATTTTTGATGAAATAGACAAGAGGCCATTTTGCGGTAAATCATTATGCTTGACTGGTTCAACAAAGGATGCCACTAATTCTTTCAAATGACAATATATTAAAATATCTATCCATTTCTCCAAAACAATCGTTCAGCTGCCAATAGTTGTATCTAAAACCAGTTGTTTATGTATCAGTGGTAATTCATTTTCCAACTACAAAAATATTCAAATTGTTTGTCAGACAAAGAATTTTCGCGGTTTTAGTTATTTATTGGTATATTTATCATTTTTTAGTTAATGAAAAACAAATGGGAAAATGGATGAAAGAATTGATTAAAACATCATAAAAAATTTAATCAAGCGGTTTTATTTAGACTTTATCTTTATTTTTCACCAAAACATAGCGAGTATAATGAAAATAGAATGAATCTCAGATTTACTACCGTGCAAGTTGGAAATATTGATAATAATATAATAATCGGAATATTGTGGCATTAAATTAACCATATTATATTGATAACTTAGCAGTTATTCCACGACAGTGCAGGATGATCGAAGGAATAATGATTGATTCAAATTATGTTGTGAGGTTAGGATTTGGTTCTTGCTCTTGAGAGGAGTGAATGTGCCATTAGAAAATCCAAGCGGGCAACCTGTAACTATTTTTCATGACAGCTAAAAAAAGATGAAAAAACAAATTTTTAATAATGTTAATAGCGAGCGCAGAGTCTAACTAGAAAATCGAGAGAGGCACTGTGGATTTCACATCTAAAGGAATATTTCCATTTACAGCCATCGATTTTTTTTTTTAAGAATTTTCACTACTAGTTAACATTACTAGTTAACTTCGCTCAGCTGGCTAGTCGCATTGGACAAATATGCCAGAGAGCCTCTTGGCGATAGAAATACAAGTGAGTCGCCAGCATCATCCCGATTTTTGGACTCCTGCGGGGAATCGAACCTCAGCATCGGCGCTCCGAATTGAGCAACAACCACTAAGCACTAAGCCGTTCTATCCCCAACAACCATCGATAGTTACAATTATAATATAAATCCTGTAAATTTCATAAATAAATCAAAATCAAGAAATTTCGAATTTTCGTAATCGAAAAATTTTCCTTCTATTTCGTCAAGGGTGATAAAAAAGACTAATTAGCGAACAATTCTCGTTAGGCTAATTTGTATAGCAATTAATTCGGCTAAAAATTTTTACCTCAAACATAGATCACCCGGTTTTTTTGCTGCCAGGTCTCAACCCGACAATCTCATTCGATATCCATCCGGCCTATCCTCCCCTCGGAAATCGTTAACTATTTGTGTGAAAGGCGCTTTAAAAAAGAATTATTCCGAGTGAGAATGAACCGATTTGTAAATAAACAATAAATAAACAAGATAAAAGAAAAAGAAATTCTTTTTTTTAAAGTTTATTAATAAAATAAAAAAATTGATATATAAATAAAAATTCAAATAAAAATTATTCAAATAAAAATTATTTGAAAATTTAAAATCATTCATAACACATTTTTATAAAAAATTGTTCTTTCGATAAATTTTCCATAAAAACATTGTCAATATAACAATATCCTTTTTTAGATTCTCTGGATCCTCTGCACTGGCTTTATTTTTCTAAACCGATTATAGAGCCAAAGAAGAAAAAAAACGAAAAAAAAGCATAAATAGAGGTGGATTATCAGATTTATACTCCGACAAAGGACAGAGATCGAAGCAACGACACTTGATAGTTTTTCGTATGCACTAGTACCATTTGGCAGAATTCTTTCAAAGTTCGCCATTTTACAATTTAATTATTTAAACTATCATATTTACGAAATTATTTATGCAAAAAGATCGCTGACAGTGACCGTAATGAGAAAAAGGATAGGCAGCCAGGTTCTTAAAAAGAGATTCTTGAAACAGCGATGGGGCATTCTAAGGAGTCCATAGACTTTGGCAGATCCACAAAAGGGTACTGATATTCAGTAGACCCTCAGTATTATGAGATACTGGCAATACTGGCCATCAATGATTCAGCCTAGGAATGAGCTTATCGTTAGAAATGAAAGCAGAGTGGTACTGCCATCCACAGCTTTCGGCACTTTTCAAATGTTTCCGTGGAATCAGCAAATTGAAGAACCACAACAGTGGAATATTAATAAACATTTATATGTGTAGAGTGGTTCATTCGTTGATAGTGAAGATTTTATCGATTTGTGTAAATTAAATGAGGAAATAAAGAAATAAAGAAATATTAAAATATAATAATGGTGCGAGAGAATTGCGATTGGTTCACATTATAAAGGGATCCTTGGGCAGAGATGTTAAATATAAATTTATACCATTCGTGCCTTCCCACACTCGTCAATTATGTCCTTGGTGTGTCCGTCCGTCCGTCGATCCGTACGTCCGCGTGTCCGCTTGTCCTTACGTCACATTGTTTCATCGTTTTGGCATCGATTCTCCTCACATTTGCACCATTTTAAAAATATCTTTTATATTTTATGTTTTCAGTTTTATAAGAAAAATTCTTTTTATTTCTAAATTATTCGATTATTTTGGTTTTTATGTAAATTCTTGTGAATTTAATTGGTTTTTCACAATTTTGTTACCAAAAAGGTTTATCCAAAGGTGCAATTTCGGTAATTTTTTGTTTTATTATAATATTCTTTCATTCTTTCAATATTCTTTATATATAATTAATTTAATTTCTGATTTACATTTTGGAATATGGACATTTACTATTTCCGATTTGGTTGAGCTAATTAACTACGAGAGTCAGATCCTTTCGCCAGACCATCACTTGGTGATTCACCAGCGCCACCATGGTATCATTTTTGATGACAGGTTCATTCTGGTCAAGAGACAGGGGTGGGTCCTTGATGCCTAAACTCAGCAGTGTGCCACTCGATCAGTCTGCTGTTTTTATGTGACGAAAAATAACGGTAATGAACTTGCATTTGCAAATTACTTCAAATGGGATTTTGCTGTTTATGGAAATATTTCGATGTAGTTCCAAAATGAATCCAATTGGGTCAAAATGGATTATTCAATGTCCAAAATTCTAAACCAAATCTAATCGTTCTCCACACAAAAATGAGCCTTAAAATTAAGGTGCACAGTGTGGTGTATTGCGAAACTTTATAGTGCCTTCACCGAACCGTTTAACATCTTTATGGAGTGATGTGTGATGGTACCTTGCCTTTATCGCTTTTCATCGCAGGATTTTATTTCTTTTTATTTTTTATGCGTTTGGTAAATAAATATTCCGCGAAATGAATGCGAATTACAAACATTGTGACAAACACATTGTTAAAGGAACAACAATGGCGGTTGAAGGAGCGACACCAGAAAAAAGCGATGGCCCGAAAGTTAACGAAACATTCCTTGCAGCTAAAGGTTGCCTAACTTTTTTGTCTAATTGTTTTCCCTTGCATTGAGCATTTTCGTGCCACAGAAGGAAGAGAAGGTGGACTTGTTTTATACTTGAAAATTATCTAATTGTAGTTCCTTTTTTATACTTTATTCTCTTTTATAGCAATTTTCATTAAATCTCATCTAATTTCAGATCGTTATGGTGAAATCCTAGCTGACGTTTATAATGCTCGTGGTACTTTAAATGAAAAATACCGTAAAGAAGCAGTGGAAAAATTAAATGTTACAGCATCGTATCCCTCGGGTATACCACAAATCGATTTTACACCATTGATACCTCCAGAATTAAGAGGTGATGTTGGCATTGTTAATGATTTGTCAAAAAAGCTAGGTGAGGCTGTACGACATAAACAACGAATTGCTCGGGCTAATTTTATTTGTGACCACAAAGCCAACCAACTGCTTGGGATTTTCGAAAGAAGTACAGTAAAAGAGACAAGATGGAAAGAATTATTGGATTTAATCAATGAAACCAAGTATGAACAACAATGGACTGGAAGTATGCCGAGTGTCGAATGGTTTATGCGGCGAAAAGCTGGAATTCTCAGTAAAAGAAAAGGTTCTTATAATTTTTCCTGGATTTAACAATAAGTGATTATCGATTATTGAAATAAAAAAGTGGTTGGCGCTCGTCATTTCTGATTAGGCTCTTTTGGATTGACAGTTTAAGCAAAGGGGAAGAAAAGGCCGTTCTCTGGCATCATTCGGATTCTCTCGTGATAGGTTCACTCCTGCCAGTGATTACGGAACACTTGATTCGTGGTTGTTTGGTTTTAAAAATAAACAAATGTTTTTCCTAAGTGTTTATTTATACAAAATCAACACAGTACATTTGCGTAAAATTTAAAACTATTGTATATTTTAATTTGAACGTAATGAAGTAGGGGGTGTGAGTCTTTTTACGGAACACTTACTCACGTGCGAACTACAGCTCGGTAAACTAAACTAAACGGCACGCGTTATATTGCCATTGTTGTGGTGCAATGTTATGATCTGAAAATTTTTCTATATTGCGCCAGTTTGACAAGGAGATCATTGATCATTGTACATATTTCTGCATTCCGATTAGTTTAAATTTCATAATCTAAAGTACTAATTTAAATATATTTGTTCATACAAATAACTTGATTTTTGATGGATTACTTGAGAAGCTTAAGAAAGTTGCCTCACTAATATCTATATATTTTCTATCAAGAATTTTTTCCGGTCGATCTTCCCATGACCAAGACATCGATAATTCATTGGTATTTCCACAGTCAAGCCGATTGATAGCAGAAGATGACGATGGATTAAAACCTATTATGGTTCGTTTATGGTTCGCTAAAGCATCAGTACGAAAATATGAGATCAGTATGTGACAGTGTGGTTGATTTATCGGGTCTGTGCCAAAAAAAACTGATAAATTAATGTTATTTATCGAGTTCAAAATAATTGAAAGTAGAAAATTCGAAATAAATCCCTTTCATTATTTCTTAAGAAAAATGGAGGTAAATAAATATCAAAATTTTTGTCGTTAATAAAACCAAATGTTTATCAATCTTTGTATATTTACTGGTCATTTGGTTTTAATTACCTTTTTTTATGGTTTAATTGTTATTATAATCAATTATTATAAGAATTATACTAATAATTCTTCAAAAAGTTAATTTTAGAATGATTTCCGTTTGGGCATTAGTGATGAAGGTATTGTAATGAATCGGACTGATATTGATACAGGCTATTTTGACGATGATGGAACAGATGCTAAACCTAACCCAATGGAATTACTTGCACTGTATTCGGCGAGTTTCGCAAGTCCAGAACCTGATGATTCCTCATATGCAAACACTAATATTGATGGAATAGCTCAGGCTGTAAACGTCGCTGCTTCTTCTCGGACGAATTCTCCAACGCAAACCACTCAAATTATTCCATCGAATCCGACTTCGACGGCTTCCTCATCGATTCGTCCGAATAAAGATGAAATATCAAAAGAACTCGAACAAGCCTTTAATCGAATGTCTCCCGCATGTGTTCGTTCATTTATGGTTCGTCTCAAGCGTTTAGTTAATCGTCAGCTGGCGCAAGATGCTGCTGAATTAATTTTATTACTCAACAAAGGTGATTATTCTCGAATTATTGAAGAAATTCAAAACTTCCCACATTGAAAATTCTGCACCTTTTTTCTGCTGTAAAATATATAACGTTAATATATGTAATTTTTTTTACTAGATTGTTTCATCTCATTTTTATTAATATTTATTTCAGTATTCGTCTTTTTTTTCTAAATTAAGTAAATTAAGTGATTTTATTAAATTGTTGTCATTCATGCATAAGTAAATGTTTTGGGCTTATTACTTCTGGTTAGGCTTGCTGCATGGTTATTTATACAATGAGAAATTACTGACGGCAAGGCACTTAGCGGTAGAACTATAACTATAATTAGATCGCCAGCAGCACTCGGATCTATCAGTGGCACTTGCTTGAGCTTCGAATATCCAAACTAAAGCTTAAAATAATAATTTAAATAAAACCGCATGGCTATTCTGCCTCCTTATACGATATGTACCAAAATTTACGGTCTTTTAATTTCAATTTAGCATTTATTTGCGAATAAATAATATGTTATCTTGTTTTTTTCTTGATTTTTTTAGCATTTATCCGTATTTTTTAAATAAAAAACGCATGTAAATACTAAAAAAAAAGTTATACGTTATAATATAATATAATATAATATAAAAATTTAAAGGTAATAATAAATCATGAAAGAAAAAATTTAAAACCATCCATTCCTATCAAACAATTTCCATGAATTTTCTCATGATGTGATGTGTCTTTTTGAAATTCTTATTTTTTTAATTTTAAATCCTGAAAAACCCGTTTGTTTTTTTCATTGCGGACAGTTTCAATATAAATAAAAATCATTAAATCCACCACAATTTTTATAACTAATTGGAAATAAATCTAAATGCGTAATTTCCGGATGGTCAATCGGAGATTTTGAAAGATTTCTGGATCAGGTGAGTCGTCATTAAAATATTTTAATTTTTCACCATAGATATGAATTGAAATCGATAAGATTTGTTAATAAATCAATGGCGTTTTAACAATTTTTTTGATAGAAGTTTAACGGCGACGTTCATCGCAACAGGCACAGCATACACATCGTAATAATGAACATAATAAACTGCACAGTACTGATAAAACTATGAATGATAATAACATGAATAACCATGGCTGAAATTCATTTTTTCAGAAAAATTTAAAAATTTTGAAAAGTTTTGAATTTAATCAATAAAGTGATGAAAAAATATAAGAAATATGTAAGAAAAAATAAATAAAAAGTATGTAAAAATATATTTATATTTGGTACGCATTTTTTCTCATTGAACTCGTTCCACTGTTAGATAAGGCAACGAGAAATTTTTGCCAAAACTCAGTGCGAATACCTAAATCCTCTCTTTTTTCAATTATCTGCAGAATAACTGAGTTGTTTAGATTATCATCTAGACAAGTTCAATTACTGGAATAAACCTGTCGTTAAAAATCTTGGTGGTGATGATGACCCACCCTTGTTTCTATTGTCAAATGAAGCCTGGCAAAAAATTTTCTAACTAGGCAGCTAACTACAGATAATTTAATGAGTTTCTTGTATTTCATTTTAATGATAATAATACCTGTAAATAAATTATAATAAATTAATACCTGTAATTGAAAATCGCATCCCTCAGTACTGCAACCATAAAATCGCAATAAATTTTCCTTTGGACATCTAAAAAAAATTTATTTATCACTAAATTCCAAAACAGATAAGGAAATCAGATTTGTGTTAATTAGCTGTTGATTTTGCCTTTCTTAAGTAATGCAGTGAAGACCGCAATAATTAGACGAACGACTTTGCTCTTGCGAAGGAATGTATATGAGCAAGTCGTTTTTTTTTGCCGCAAAACCAATATTCTTCAAATTGCTTCAGATTTTATTCAAATTTCTTTAAATGCTTCAGAATATCCATAGGAATCTTCAAAGAAAATCTAGTTGAAAATAATTTTTAAAAATAAATTTGCTTCTTTATTTCATCCTATGGAATTCTTAATTTATCCAGAAAATTTCAAAATTTCTTATTTATCATAGCGATGATCGCTTCAGTTTACGCACACTAAAGGACCGAAAGAATTACTGCAACGTTCCGCAGGTAGCACTGTTCGTATAAAAAAAACCAGCTGAGACTGTTTTTAGAAGAAATGCATTGAATGTCAGTGTAATCATAAACATATCGTACTCCCCAAATTTTTTTAAAGAGAAAATCTGAAAAAGTAAATGGCAAAAATTATTTTTGGCTTTGATCATAATCATAAGTGGATAATGACTTAGAGAGGCAAGAATTCGACCTCTATCCCTCACGATGAAGCTGTCACTTAAAAATCTATGTGGTTCTGGCACCAACTAACTCCAGCCAAAAATTTCAAACCGTACTAATTGATGGGCGGTAAATACTTCACTTTAGTGACCACTATGGTAAGACCTATTCGACAGAAAATCAACTGTGGATAAAAGCACAAGTGGATCTTCAGCGCCACTTGTTTGCTATAATAAAAATTATACTTACTAGATAAATGTCAAAACAAAATTTTTTATAATTAATTATAAGATTAAAATCTCACAAGTCGTAAAGGCAAAATACGACATTTGCATAAATGTGAGCATCTCAACTTTTACATAGATGAATTCAGTACTGTAAAAGCGTTTATCACAGATAAAATATAATGCATAAATTTAATACAAAGAATTGATATTTTATTCAAAAATATTTCAGCAAAGGGAGTTCATGTTAGCACCAACAAATTAGAAAAAGCGAAGAAAAAAAAGAGTGGAGAGAAGAAAGAAAAATTATGATACCGATGGACTGAGCTGCGATGGATTTGGATCAGTGAATTTCATATAATAATAAATGATCAGAGAATAAATAATAATATTAAGTTTCATTTGAAAATGGGAAACTGAAGCAATATTTCTAAATTTTAGAATATGGTGATTCAACAAATTACACAACCTCAATCCATTAGTAGTATAAAAATTAATTTTCCAGATAAAATATTAAAATTCAAGCAAAAGTATAAAAATAAATTAATAGACAAAAAGGAAGACTTCAAAGCAAAAATCAAATTTTGCTTACTTCTTATAGTTCTAGATAAATGAATTAATTAATTGGAACATTCAGTCAGTTCTATGAAAGCACCTGACTTATAACCGCACTAAACTATAATTCTTCTATTGAATATAATGAATTTTTTTGAAAAGTAATCCTTCCTTTCATTTTCTCGAAGATTCTTAAGCTCTACCAACTGTTTTTTAAATAAATAAAATATATAGAGGAAAATTTGCATTGCATAAATTAAAAATACGGGAAGGTTGCAAAACACAAAATATATCCAAAATTTGAAAGAAAAGGGTAGCTTTTTTTTAAAAGTCCTCACCATTACTGGTTTGCCACATTTAGCAATATGCTAGGGAGTCCCCTGGCGATAGAAACACAGGTGAGTCGCCAGCATCACTCGGATTTTTGCACAGGCTTAACCTTACGGGAAATCGAATCTCAGCATCGGCGTTCTCAGTTGATCAACAACCCACTGAGCCATTCAACCCCCGAATGCGGTTTGCTTCGTTTCTACTTAACCTTATCAATCGAAGCCATCAATTTTGAAAGAATAAATTTCCTTCGTTGCCTTTCTATAAAACCATTAAAAGATTAAAAATTTCAGGTAGTCATTTCAGGTCATAAGTTATTCATTAATAGAAATTAACAGTTAAATTCGAGACAATTGTCAATTGTTTAAATTGTAAATTGTTTATTGGTGGATTGGTGGCACTACGAATTCACTCCTTTCATTTAAATTTCTAATTTTCAACTATTCCTCACTAATAAACTTTTATTTTTGATGAAAAATTCAAGGCAATAAGAAAAATCCATCAAAATATCGCGAAAGAACAAATTTAAACGCAACTGGTTTTAAAGCAAATAACTGAAGCGAATGGTCGGCGGCTCAGCTAAAAGCAAACATTCTTCACCAACATCACTATCATCGACGAACGCAAGTAATGTATTTATTTTTATCGATTCAGGAAATGATTTCAACCAGCCAACCAACCATTCACTTATCAGTTAAATCTGCTCATTCGGCCCATTTTTATAAAAAAAAACTTCACGGGAATTCAGATCTCTCAACGATGATGGTCCTTCATGGAACATTAAAGGGATTTTAAAACTATTAGAACTTGCAAAAAAAATGGATTTTTAGAAAGTCGATTCTTTGCGAATTGCAATGAAAAGAAATGCCTCTGTTCTCAAAAAGGGCAAAGTAATCCAAAGCAAAGATCGCAA